GGAACACTTGACGCAGAGTTTGATTTGACCATTTCCAAGCTTTCGAGATGCCTTTTTTTTTCAATTAAAAGACACAGCAAGGCACACATGGTTATCTGCGCAATATTTAAATAAAGGGTGCTTTCTATTGGGATTAACTACAGATATCATGTGTGTTGGAATGTTTGGATTGTTTTTCGTTACGCTTAGCCAAGAATCTTCGCACGCTTAGAGCCATGTTACACGGGTACTTGCTTAACACTGTAGCGCTCCAGTTACGGATTTATGAACACCATACGCCGAGTGGTGCGAGCTGCCGCTCAAGCTTTACGTCAAGTCTAATGTCACCCTTGTTTAGGAGTAATCGCCCGTGTTTACAGAGTATTGTTATTGTTCGGAAGAAGCAGCGCCTCTTACGAATACTACATGAAAATGTGCACGTGACTCGAAAAGGTAACCGTATTTTGAGTGGGCATAAAAAGTGTCATGCATGAAAAATTAACTGGACGCGGCATGAAAGCGACGGCAGAAGCTCGTCGGTCCGGCTGAAAATGGGACGACGCAGGTGCTCTCTCGGATCGCGTCAGATAGATAATTAATTTTTGCAATCCGATCAGTCGAAAGAGTTTGGTCTGCACGGCGTTTTCACCTACGTGGACCTTTACTTTGAAAATGAGGTGAAAATACGAGAAAATCTTGCGACAGGGTATCCATGCAATAAAGCAGCCCAATTAATCTCCTCCTTGTGAAATTCAGCTTCGCAAGTTCGGTGAACAAATCACATGACGTATTACAAAAATTAAGCACATGATACGTACATCTCAAGCACCACATCGAGCCGAAGCATGTTCAGCTCTTAAATAAAGGTCAAGAGGACGAGAATACAAGCTAACATTCAGTGCCCGCCTTATTTTCGCTGATAGTGCGGTGTTATACTGCTATTGGTGTATAATAATATATATACTTCGCTTATTTTCTGTGACAGATCAACTTCTTAAAACAGAGTTGGCATTAAAAAGGACTTTCGTGCACAGGTCTTATTACCTGAACAATTTATGTTTATACATTTGTTTATTCATAAATGAGTTTGATCATCATTATTGTTTTTAACATTGATATTGTTCCGTGATCACACATCATTCATACCTACTTTTATATATATTCTATTTATTCATCCTTAACTGCCCTTGTTTTGTTACCTATATTGACCTAAACGCCGTCGTTTCTGCACAAAGCGAAGAACAGTATTACTCAGACCAAGCAAGAAGCATCGCGTTATTTTGACTGTGTACAGTAGCCAATTTGAAGTTTTGTTTCCAATGTAGCAATATTATAGGTGCTTTTGCAAATTGCAGCTCTCCATTTGAAGTCCGCATCAATGTTGGTATTCCCCCTCAATATATGGTGCTTCTGTTTCACTTTATCGCTGCATGCCGCAGTCAGCTTTCTCTGCTTGTCTTTCCGATGCTGAGAGAGAGGCAGAGAGAAACGGATAGGAAAGGTAGGGAAGTTAACCAAGCTTTCAGCTCGGTTTTTAAAGCTGAAATTCAAGAGGGTCCTGAAGGCTCCAGGATATCAATACAGTGAAGTATGATGGGATATATATCAAAACGTTAATTAAAAAAAGGAAAAAAAAAGCACGGGGAGCGTATGATTGGGGCTCCCATTCCATGGCCCCACTGAGTTGAGGGATGATAGTCAGCTTTTTTTATTTATCGCCATATAAAATACCTCAGTCGTACTACGAGACTGATTTCAACGCGAAGTCGTGATTGCTGCTTTGTACCATTGTATAGGAGAGTGGTGTTCATAGGCGAAACCCGCGATAAGTTATGGAGCAAAGGTCTGGTTTACATGAAAACCGCACACGCTTGGCTTCAACGAAAGATGGCACGAGCGACATAGGTTCAAGGTCGGTTTCAAAAAGACACGTTCGTATAGTTAGTGTGCCTATGTAATTGGTTATGTTATTGTACTTTGAAAGAGACATATGTTAGTGCTTATTGTTGACGCTTAAAATTCCTGTGGGTCTTGCTAAGCTAGTGGTACCGTTTTTATGATTGGTACCACACCTTTGATTACTCGTACTGTGACGATACTGGCTTGAAAAGTCCGAATCGTGAAGTATGTTGATGATGAAGGAAAAAAGACTGCTGCTGTTGTGTATACTCATCATTGTGGTCTTTAGAAACCGCAAGGACAGCTAAGCGTGCGCAATGACAACGTTCAGGTGTCCTCCGTGGTTGTACGACGGTTGCAATGTTCGGCTGCTAACCCGAAGGTCACGTGTTCGATCCCGGCCGTGGCGGTCGCATTTCAATGGACGTGGAATGATTAGAGGCCCGTGTGCTCTGCAATGTTGGTGCACGTTAAAGAACATTAGATCGTCGAAATTTCTGCAGTGTTTCACTACGGCGTCTTTCATAGTCGTGGTTTTTGGTAATAATATCTCGTATTATTGTTGGTATTATTACTATTTCTATTATTATTACAACGTTCACACAGAGAGGTCAACTTTATATAGAGGTTAAGGGTTTGTTAAGATAATTTCTCAAATAAAATGAATAATAAAAGTATTTCCTTTATCAGGCAGGAAAGTGAGCGTCGTGTAAGTTTAGGTAGTTTAGCGCAGTAACAATTGTAAAAAAAAACGAAAAAAGAAAACATACTTGAATGAGAGGTCTGCTCCAGGATTTACATCTTGGGCGATTATGTTGGCCCCATAAATTTCGATAAAACCGACCATTATAAGTGAATAAAATATATACACTGTGACGCGCATCACAATCGCATCGTGGATTTGACGTCTAAAACAGTTGCGAATTCACATTTCAATTGTACTTATTGAGACATCAAAAATAGTGCAAGTATGTATAGCGATGTCAGCGGATCAGAATGGTAACGAATTTACTTTTTCTTTAAAAAATACAGGTGGCATGGTGGGCGACAAACTCAAGGCAATTCGAGAGAAGATTCCTTTGCCTGGTTGAAAAAGCACATTATTTCTACTATCACTGCTTTCTTTCTTACTGCTTTCTGCGTTTATCTTGAATATAAAACCAACACTCAGGTTGGGAGCCAGCATACGTCTCAATAGTATCACTCTCTCAAGAACAAAAAGAAACTCCGACGCACCCCAGAAAACCTGTTTTTGTTGCAACGCAATGTTTCTCAAGACCTGCAGCGCTGAAGAGCACGTAAGGTGATTTTCAAAACACACTTGACGTGGCCAAAAACGCCATACAAATAAACTGCAGAACAAAATGCTTGTTTCGCGTCTTTTGTGTGTAACAGTAATTCATAAGCGTTGTACATTGTTAGCCAAGTTATTTGTTCTGCTGTATATACAGTGCTCATTAGCCAAACTTACGCGGTATTAGTAACAAACCTCTGTCTGCTTTTATTTATTATCCCCGTCCCCCTTGGGTGCTTGGGACGTATAACTGGTGAAATAGATCAAGTTTTAGTGCAACTGATTAAACCACCCACAATTATTAAAAGGCAAGGTTTGGTGACCACTCGTCACCATACCATCTGCAAGAGGTAAACAATAAATTAATTATTATCTTCAATATACACAGTGCTTGTCAAATTGTGTTATTGCTTTAGCGTAGTCTTTGTATTTACGCATACGATGAAGATGTGCGCTTGTGCTGCCCTCTGTAACTGCTGTTCGGGTAGCCAGCGATCATTCAGCGTTCACCAGTGCACCAATCAAGAACTTCGCATGACTGCTACATGGTTTCAATACCACATGTTAATTGCTAAGCACACTACATTTACTAACTGCTTTTGACGGAAGTCGTTCTATTACACTGTGGTGTAAATAAGCTGGCCGTATTCTGTACAGGCCACATACGATGGAGAAACAAGCTTTTCTCAATTAACGGTGATTGCAGGGGACACAAAGTGAGACTGATAGGGGATTACTATGTCATTGATGGTTGCAAAATTCAGCAATGTTATGATCGGCCTCCCTGGCTTAGCGCCGCTTTGGACGCGTGGGACATTGGGGATGCGCTTACCCTGATTTATTTCGGGTCACAACTCACAGAGATGCGCCAATTGCGGCGACAACACCAAAGTAGTTTTTCCAATTGTATAGCGCAGTTGTCTCCTCTCGTAGAACCTTTTGAGCATGCCCGACCGACTGAAGACCTGGGCGGTTTGCAGTCAAAACGGCTTAAAAAGGTGGTCATATCTGCGCGGCTCTGTTCTTCAGAGGGTAGCGGATAATAAGCCAAGTGTAAGGATCCGTATTCAGATGCATTTTCCGCGTTCTCCGAGTGCCTTCATGCCACTGTTTTCACAAACCATGGTCTGCCCGGTGCTAGACACACATCATTGAAACGGACTACAGAGTTGATTGAGGAGCCAACGTCTTCGCGCTACGCTGCGTCATGCGCCTGTTGCAGGGCGCAGCGTTTTTTCCGTCGCCATGGGATGAACTGCGAGTGCCTTTTTTTCCCTCTTTATCTGCGTTGGGAAGGAGGCGATGTGTCTTACTCCCATTTTGGGGGCGGAGGTGAAGAGGACTGTTTCATCAGACCATCCTAGATTCAATTGTTTTCCCCTGAAAGGAATCTTGGGAAGACATGGACTTTCAAACACGAGCACCGAGACGCTTCGAACAAGTTTCCGAAGCTGCCATTAAGCTTTCAATGAGAACTTCCATGATGTTACCATAAATCACGTAATCACGCCACCGTCAACATAACTGGCTCCGGTCCAACGGGCAGACCTCCGACTACATCATTAAGAACAAACAAACAAACAAACAAAAACACGTTACCACTCAATTGTGCTCATATTGTATGCTTCAACGTAAGCAATAAGTTGATCAAGAAGCCATTCCTGATGCAGCTAGCTGCTAGGCGTAATTTACACGAATTATTACTTAGTTTTACAGTGCCAATTGCGTAACAGAAGTAATTCGACCAAACTGCAGAAGTACCACGTATTCAGCGAATAAACTAACGCGAATGCGTTGCAGTGAGAAACCCACAATTAAAACACACAAATTTGTTTTAATTTATTATTTTTATTTACTGTACGCCCCAACAGGCAGTGCGTTACCTCAGCATGCATGCTGATGTAGGAAAACTTTGCTTTTTATTTCCGAAAAATACTCTTTGACCTGAAGAAACAAGAGAGTCCCTTTCTTCTCGTTTCTTCTTGATAGGCCTTTATGTTCATGTGCGCACGCAGCAGCCGCCGTGTAGTTTTCTTCTCCCTTTCTTTTTTTTCCTTTTAAGGCGTGAGATGAGATGTTTTTCGAATGGGCGCTTCGCTACAGTGACTCACGTCAGTGGTTACGTCCTCCCACTTTTCTCACCGTTCGACGTCGTACCCTTTTGTTCGCTCGCAGAAGAGTCTCGCTTCTTGCGCAAGGACTCTGCATCCACGTCATGGCTTGCTGGACCACCGTAGTTTAATGCCCTACCCACGGAAAGGCTCGGTGCGGCGTCCTCTCTTTTGCCTCCCCAAGACCCAAACACGTTGCCCTCCTTTTTGCCTCCCCAAGGCCTAAAGACGTTGTCTTCCTTCTTTCCACCCCAAGGCCTGAAGACTCTATCTTCCTTCTTGCCTCCCCAAGGATTGAACGAATCCTGCCTCTTGCCTCCCCAAGGGTTGAACGGGTCGTCTGCTCCGCGCTTGCCTCCCCAAGGGTTGAAGAATCCTTCCTTGTTCGAGCCATCCCTCTTACCTCCCCAGGGGCTGAAGGGTCCTTCTCGCTTGCCTCCCCATGGATTGAAGCGGTCCTCGCGCTTGCCTCCCCAGGGCGTGAAAGACGTATCCCCGTCGTCACCCCTTTTTCCTCCCCATGGAGAAAACGCCTGGTCTTCCCCGGTTCCCCTCTTTCCTCCCCAAGGTGCGAAGCTCCGCTCTTCGTCCCCTCTCCGTCCTCCTGCTTGGCCCTAGCGGCGTCGTTTCTGGCCGTCGGGCTTCTGACAGCTCTCTTGCCTCCCCACGGACTGAAGGCATTCTTGCTGTCCTGCAGCCGCTTGCCTCCCCACGCGCTGAACGTGTCCCTCTTGCCTCCCCAGGAACCGAAGTGGTCTCCTGCCTTCTTGCCTCCCCAAGGGTTGAACGTCTGGTCTTTGTCCTTCTTGTCGTCTGTTCTTTTGCCGCCCCATGGACTGAACAAATCGGCGGCCCTCACTGCGATGTCCACAGGGTGCAAACGACGGACCTTGTACGAGGCATCCGCTGCCAGACGGTGCCGGTGGCTCTCCTGATTGCCGGCTGAGTCCAGCAGGGATTCGAATGCGGCGGCGTTCCGCTTGCCGCCCCATGGACTGAACTGGCGCTTGAAGCTTTCGGAACGCATGTGCTGCAGCGCGGCGGGCGAGATGTTCCAGCGGATTAGCGTGTCGCCACCTCTTGAAAGTAGGGAGCGCGCCTCGTCGCTGCCCACGACATGTTGAGCCCAGGCGTCTGATGGGAACGCAATGACCCCCAGGACAAGAAGCAGCACAAGTGACTCCTGCGATGATAAGAAAATGAACTTCAGTCATGACAACTGCAGAAGCGAGTACATGATGAAAAGAGCGTCACAGTGATTTAAATAACATTATGTGCATCAATTTGTCGCCATGCACAACCTTCTTTTAAAATAGTTACGCATGCTTTTAAGGCTTTCAAGGCTCACCTCGTAACTCATACTGGACCAGCAGAGGGACTGAGGTCCGCCTAGGGTTAACAGTGGGCCACATCTGCCCAGCATATAGTCATGTTCCCAAACTTCGAACCCATGAAGTACCCCCTGCATTATTCCTTTATTCACGTCGTCCCCAATGTGGCCAATTTAGTAACACACTTTACGCAGGATACAGTGCTCGTAGTTTTACGACGTGTGCGACACATCTGGCTGCATATTTCTATTTAGATGACTTAACTTTATCGTTACTGTGCTTGTAAAGCCGAGAAATGATAATGTTGCGCATTCTTTCTGCCCTTGACTGACAAATGAAAACCGGGGCCTGGTGCTTAGCTGCAGAGCGCAATGACCACTGAGCCTCCGTGGAGGGAAACTATTAGCTTTGTGTCACAGAATAAAATACGTGAGCTTTCCTACTAACAGATAAAAAAAGAAGCTCGAGAACATACTGCTCTAGAATAGGTTTTCTCGTCTGCTTGCACATGCACCCGACACGCCCTGCATCAAGTGACGATAACTACTTTCAACAGAACGCAATGTAATACTAGTCACGCTAAACACCTAACCTTGCTTTACAAATATCTAGTTTGATATCCCTACGCAAGCCGCAATGAATTTGAATGGGACTGAAGGCAACGTAACTACCAGGCATGCTTGTTGGAAATGAAGGAGGGAAATTAAGGTACTTACCCGAAGTAATTGAAACATATTGTTTGAGACCAGCCTCCCCAACATGAGAAACAGCGACTGATCAGTGAAGTGGTTTTACACAAAGATACTTAAGTCGTGACATTTCGGGACGTGCGCGAATTTCTGTTTAAGTGCATTCTGCTCACAGCACCTCGTTCGTGTCTGAGGCAAATGCAAGAGGCATAAATTTGGCACTTAATTTGGGTCAAGTTCCCGAGAATTGCGGAAAAGTACCTGAGTGAGTTTACTTCAGCAAGAAACGTTTCGCAAATCGTTGCATCTTGAATGTATCGAATCATATAACAAAATTGTCACAGGTGGAATGTTATATACACTAGAAGTCCTTAAAAGCGCACTTGCGCTCTTGCTGTGAACCACACATTGCAGTGTAACAAAAAATAACTCGTACAGCTTAATGAAAAGGGCCTACTATTCTGTAGAAGTAGAGTCTGCGTAACACGTAATTCGAATTTTTTAGAGTTATTACCCCTACCAACTTCTTTTTTTTTCATGAAGTATTTGTAGTTTTCTATTCAAGCAAACATAGATACTGCACCCTTTGAAGGTACTTTTTCCGCGGTGTTGATTACCAAACGGAAGTCAAGAGTAGTAAGCTAAGGATGCACCTTGCCTCGAAAATGTTGTGGGTAACAGCTACATATCTGTACCATTTTCAAATGAGTTATCTTTCAGTGTAACATAGGTGGTCAATCGAAGGCCAGATCAAACTGCCTCAACTTCATTATTGTTCTTAGAACCAGGTTGTACTCGAAAGACTCGTTCACTTCACGAAAAAAAAAGAGCGTGTTTTACTGTCTTTGGTAGGTTCATAATTGGCCGTGCATACAATTATATTTAATGATAAATGGCAACTACCTTCTGCATTTCAAGTCTCTCCGATGAGAGTACAGTAATCTACAAGAAGAGCTTACGTAACTCTTTAAGAGAGTCCTAGACGTCGTAAGTCAATGAAAAGAAAAAAGAAGTGAGGTTCTGAAAGAGGTCCGCTACCTTTACTGTGACCACTCAGGTCCCACAATTCTGAAACAACGGGTATGACTGAGATTTTGGCAGCTTTGTGGCGTGACATAATGGAAAATATGGAGATAAGATATTCAAACACATAGAAGATGGAAGCAGTATATTTAGATGAATTTTTTATCAAACGCCCTTGTGCAAGAACATCATTCAAGATATGTAGTGTATAAAATATTTTACGTAATTTTTTTGACACAGTTTTTTCGATATGACTTTCTCACAGAAAACGGCCGACGCAGATGCGAAATGTGCTTGCGCAGTGTCTCAGAGGTTAGCGTCTCGATGGGGACTTTTTAGGAAAAAAAAATTGTCAACTTCGCATCGTTAGCCTTTTACCCTAATGTTATGTTAGAAACTGCATCTTACAATGTACATTTACAAAACACGCTGAGAATGTTTGAACAAGTTGCACCCATATGCGACGCAGGCGTCGGCGTCATACTGACGATCTTGCGAAGCCATCTTGCATGCGAAGCCTTATGGACGAGAAGTCTACGCGAAAAAAAAAATGCAAGCACCACAAACCCTATCAGCGGGTGTGGCGGTGATCGGTGGGGTCAACTTAGAACCAGCATTTTCATCCGATAAGCAAACGTCCGCCTATCTGTACGTCGTAACTTTGGCGGCAAACGTTTCGCTGCGTCATCTATACGACAGACGCGGCCAACGTCTATACGCTTTATCGAAACGTCTTCGCAAAGCTCGTAGCATCCAAGAATATCCCGCTTTCCGGGATGCGCACACACGATCGACGTGAGTCGCCGGGGGACCACCAGTTATCCATGAGGCGAGAAAAACTCACCCCGACGGTGAACTTAGCACCAGCAGCCCCGCGACGGTGCAGTACCGTTCCCATGGCTGCTGTGCTGGACACGATGGCGATGACAACGCTTCGCGCTGCCGTCGATGGGGCCTCGTGCAGCGCCTGTTGCTCGGCCTCCGAGGAAGGTATCGTGGTTATATAGCCTACTGCCGGAGGGAGTGCGATCCATCTAAAACTCCCCAGAGGGAAACCCAAAGGCGAGTAATCCGATTGTCATTCTTCTAAGGATCTCAGCCAAGGCACGCGCGGCAGCGACTCGTGGGGGCAAAGCTTTTAGCTCTGCGGTCTGCGTAGAAAGCCTCTGAGCTTCGTTTTCTTGCCGCCTCCCCTTCTTTTCTTTTTGAGTGCGTTTCGCACGTCACGCGAGTTAGCTCTGAGCTCCGGCTCTCAAGACTACACCGGAGGTCCACAAGAGGAGAGAGATAAAGAGATAGAGGGAGGGGGAAAGGAGGAGAGATACCGTCCTTTCTTGCGCATCTTGCGTGGTTGTCGCCGCAGCGAGTCATTGTCACCGACTCGTGTAAGTTGGCCCTAATGTGTCTCTTCACTGCTTTATATTCCCTCTCTCCTAGCTTCTGATACATGCCTTTTGAACTGTGTTCTTCTTCTTCGTCTCCCACTCTATTCTGGTCCTCCTCCTTGTTCATCTCGGCCTTCGTTTTTCTTTGGTTTGCCTCGTCCTCTTCTGCGGCACGGAGTAAAGGCCACGCGCTTCGCCTTGTGGCGCGTGGGGCTTCTAGCTGCTGTTTTCTTGGGCTTTAAATTAAGGCACTCTGTCCTGTTTCTTGTTTTCAAGAGATGGAATTTAGCTGCTTTGTTTTGTCGGAGGCTCGACTGGCTTAGAAACATAACTTGTAAGCTTCTGAAAGCTCGCCTTTTGCGAGTGTGCGGATAAAGATGCTCACGTTTGCACGCTAAGTGGTTGCCGATGGGATAAAGTTTTCAAGTAAAACATGGCTTTTCGATATTTAATAATAACGGTCCAAATGCGTGGGACCCAAACAAGACGCCTTAGTTGTGACACACGGTGTGTTGTTTTTTGCTCAATGAATGATTGCCAAACAAAAACCTTTGGTAATGACTCCTACACGATGCCACTAGGGGAGCTCAAAATGCTATAAATCTGCCGAAGGTCTATAGAACTGTGGTGTAATGCTGCATAGCCAGCAGTGCAGTGACGTCAGACGGTTCCTGATTATTCGACTATTGCTAACACATGCAGCAAACGCTTCAAATATTCCAGGGGAGCTATTGCGCCTGTTTGCACTGCAGGGGTGAAAAATATAGGAACCTGCGATAAGAATATGAGAACCTTGTGGCCCACAAGGGTTAAAGAGACAATTCGCTGAATTTTTGACCATACACTTAGATGATGCCGTTTTCGAATAGTATTGACGGTCCTGCTTCAGCTAGGAAGGTTCATTTTTCCTAGCCGCTCGCTGATAATTTTAATTAAGCGGTGTATGATGAGTCACAACCAGAGTGCAAGAGTACTTTAGGTGACCGAACTCCGGGACTATCTTCTGCCCGATAAGTGGTCTGCTTCGCAAGGAGGCTGAACGATGGCGCTACGAACTTTGCCCCAGTTTCACCCCCTCTCTGTGTAGGAAAGCACCGTGACGTAGGAAAGTAACGGCGCTCATATATCGTCGCCGCAACACCCTCGCCGCGCGGTCAACCCCTTATCATCCCCTCTAGCAGCGCCACTCAATGCGTGCTGCGTGGTTGATATCATTTCATTTCACTTCATTTATTGATGTTGTCAGCCATTTGCGGGCTATTACAGGAGTGGAGTTGACTCATATAAAACAGAAATATGCATAAGAGAAACATAAGGAAAAGAACGTTCACTACTGGAACAAATCATTTCAGAGCACATACAACAAATATATCATAGTGGCTAAGCATATAGTTTACAGAGAAGTTTTTGAAGAGCAATAACCCAGTATTTTCAGATTCGGAAAGCATCACTCACGTGCCGTATTTGCTTTGCGGCATTCGCCAGCAGCCCGCCATGGTCCTCAGTCCGGCGAGGCATCTATCGGCATGCCGTAAACGAGAACATAATCGGTCTCTCCTCGCCAAGCGCTCACTTTGCGGCGTACGCTCACCTGAAGTATTTTTGCACCGTTGTCAAAACAGAAGCTTAAGCACGGAGCTGTTCTATCCTCCATGGTGAGTGTCGGATGACGTCACGAAATCCGTATCCGACGAAGTCACGTAATCCGCTACACACTGCCACGACTGGCCAGGGTGTAAACGTAGCTCACGTGCCTCTTCTGACGCGCGTAAAGCAAGTTGGCGATGTCATACGACGCGGAATCAAGCTGTGCCCGCTCGTATAAACTTACCAGTGACAAGTTCAGCGATGATTGCGGCTACTATCTGAGCCTGGAAACATTGCCTTTTGATTTCGACCCGCCGGTGCGTGAAGCATCTGACGTGCACAAATCGATATTTTTTTTTGCTCAATATGAGGAAGTTTTAGAATAACGTTTGCACGTGCCATGGGCGTTGCGGGCGCCATGTGAGCTTTAGAATAGCGTTCGCCCTCCTGCAAACCACGACGCACGATTGCTGCGACACCACAGCCGACACCGCGCACTTCAACCAGCGTTTGCGGGCCGCATGTGGGCCGCACATGCCGCCCGCTATTTCGGATTTTCAGTGGGTGGTCCACGAACGCGAACGGTGGCTCGCGTTACGACGCATGCGCAGTGGCAGCGACCACACCGCAATGGCTTGCGGTGCGCTATTCTAAAACTACATACTAGGGAGTTTTAGAATAGGGAGCCTTCATGTGCGCGCGTCTCCGTGTTTTGGTAGAACAGGAAAGACATGTTCGTGACTCCAGTTTGTATGAAATACTGTTAAAACAGTTCGTTTCTCCCACTTGGTAGACCCCCGGCATTGGCGGAGTGACGTTATTTAGGGAGCCTAAATTTGCGTGGGGGAGAACCTCAATGTCGCTATGAATGGACTTCGATATCTGCGCACCATTCATGAAACACATTCACCTTAGCACTGCAAATACCTCAAAGGCCTCTTAGTGCAAGGCTCGAAACCGCGCTGTTCATATGATGGAACTCGTAACGACAGGGAAGGCTGAACAAACAACCGGGTAGCTCGCGATGTTCTCTGTAAACCGAATAGCTCAGGTAGCCTGTTTCTCATACCCTAAACATTGTGTTTCTCCGTAATATAGTTTCCTACAGCAAGTTTAGTTCCTGCGAACGAATCTGTACACTGACTGCTTAAAAACCTTATAAGCTGTAAGCATTGCCCAAAAAAGTAGGGCATTCAATGACATTACATTACCCTCCCCATATGCCCACAAGCCTGTATATTAGGCTAGAAGAAAAGTAAAGGGGAGCAACGAGGGACAAATCAAGTTTTTCCAGGTCATATTTTATTGCAAACAGCATCTAAACGGCATCTGGCCTTGTGTCTTCAAACCATCCTGCCTCCTTTGCTGTAAGCTTGTGTCCTCGCAGTGGGCCTAGAGTAAAACAATAAGACAAAAAATCATACATGGCTCCGACCACATATACGGAGTCTATACACATTTTATCTACAAGCACTAAATAAAAGCGGAGTTTACGATATCAAATCATCTGTGTGTCTGGTTATGAAACAAAAGGACGACACAAATAACGATGCACCACATAGGGCATATTTGAGTTATGGGCTGACAACCAACTTGCTTAGTGCACATATACTGCTCTGTTCAGGACCGACAGATAGACAGAAGAATGGACAGACACGAGCAGTAAATCTGTCGCATTCTATGTCATTAAAGAGAAGTCCTGTTTGCAATTATTGAGCGAGTTTCGGTGTGGTTGCGCGTGTCATTGAAGCAAAGAACGAATACCCCATGGCAAGCCACACAAAAGGTTAGTTGCGTTGCAACTGCGCAAGACAAGCGCCTACAGGGAATGCGTTCATCGGCTCGTCTGTCTACCTCTCCAAATGCCCTTCCTCAGCAACCGAGATAAAATTGCAGGAATGCGAACATCTGCCAGAAAAGGATGAAGCGAACGGGAGCGTCTGTAGGTGGTTTACGGGCCTGGCGTTTTCCGCGACGAATGCAGTGGCGGCTTCGGAAGCTGACAAAGTGCAGATAGTGAATGCGTGCAGGACCACACATTCGACTAGTCATATGATTCGAATGAGGAACTGTGCTTCGACTACATGGATAAACAAGCATACTCAACCATCTTCTGCTCGCACAGCGTAGCCGAACGAAGCCTAATTCATTATTATACTGTACTCGTTGTCGTGCTTACTTTGCTCAAACTGCTTTTCGCTGCATGGCAAAGTCAGCCTTTTCACGAAATATGCGGTGATTTACTCAACCCACTCGCAATACAACGGGTACTCACCTCACAAACACGGCGCGAAGTAGTCGCCTCCAAGCAGTCTCACTTCACTTGAGTAGCCCAGCGTTTCCGTTGGCTAGAGCAAGTCGGGAAGCGGGAAGGTCTCCAGATGGTTTTGCATTGTGGCACGCAGCACCCTGGCATATAGACTTCAAAGTTCTTTTATGTGTGGTTAGCACGAGAATGGTGTCCTAGCGGAAGCTACGTCTATGGGGAATTCAAACGCAGCTCATACCGCAGCTTGCACACCCGCGCCAACATGCGGCTGGTGCAGCGCGACGGAGCAGGAACGCCTGGCCGCAAGAACCAACAAGGTGCCTGTTGCCATGGAAACCGGGACTGGCAACATTGTGTTTTAGCGGGTGGCGGCAAGTGGTGGGTCAAAGGCTGACACCACCCTAAAACACCGAGACGCACGCACATGAAGGCTCCCTATTTTAGAATAGTGCACCGCGAGCCCTTGCGGTGCGGTCGCTGCCACTGCGCATGCGTTGTAACGCGAGTCGGCACTCGCTTTCGCGGACCGCACGCAAAAAATCCGAAATCGCGTGCGGTAATGGCGGCCCGTATGTGGCCCGCGAGCGCTGGTTTTGAGGCTACAGGCGGTGATGGCGGCCCGCATGTGGCACGCAAGCGCTGGTTTCGAGGCTACGGTGCCGCTGCGATTGTGCGTTGTAGTTCGCAGCAGGGCAGTTGCTATTCTAAAGCTCATATGGCGCCCGCTACGCCCACAGCGCTTGCAAACGGTATTGTAAAACTCCCTATTGTACATCCTTACCCTGTATTCAGAAACGCTCCTTCACTTGAACTTGACTTGTCATCACCTTCAATGCAGCTCAAACGCGTTTCAAGTGCACTGCATTGATGACAGGGGAGAGTCAAGTCAAGGAGCGTCGTCGTCGCCTCGTAGAAGAAAGCGTACGCTGCACCCGGCTGCTGCCAAGGCGGGGTTTTGAAAGAGAGTAGACACTTAAGCAACATGTAAGGAGGCCTGCATTTACAAGTGTGATTCCAGAATTGACGATCAATTTTATGATTGGTTTTCTAAAAAATCCGAAGGACTTACGGTAGTATAATATGGCCCATCGTGGTACGTATACAAAACACGCTCTCAAAGTTTTATTGAAATCGAAGAACGTAAAAAAATGGCAGCATATACAAGGGTTGAAGGATGAAGAGTGGGGCGAAGCATCCGTTCGTCCATTCGTTCTTGCTTGCGTCCATCCGCCTGGCCGTGCGTGCGTCTGTTCGTGCATCCGCACGTCCATCCGTGCATCCGTCCCTGCGTACGTCCATTCATCCGCCCCTGCGTCCGTCCTTGCGTCCATCCGTCCATGCAGCCACCCGTGCGTTCGTTCATGCATCATCTGTCTGTGTGTCCGTTTGTCCAACTACTCAACACTCCAAGTACCACAATCTCGCACCTTTTCATCATATTTTCCCCATATAGAAGCACCGCCATCCAGCGGACATCCTAAGGACTAAAGGAGAGGTGGCACACGCACACTTTCTTATGGCTTGCGCTTCGTGTCGACCTCCCACCTTTAACCCCCTCGAGTTCATGGTATATGCTAGTTCACTCTTTTGACGGCACTGCGGCGCAATGCTCGCTAAACCTTTCTAAAACCAAGGATGTTACGCCCAGTGAGTATAACATAGCAACCCTTTCTTGTCAGAAAGTGACAAACGTGATCAGCTGTTGCGGTAGAAAGCACTGCGGTTTCAGCATACCAAGTCAGGTGGTCTACACAGGCTATAAATCAGTGATTCCCAGTGATAGATCGGGGAAAAGGGCCCATCAAGTCAATACCGACGACCTCAAAGGGAAAACATGGAGGCGGCATGAGATGGAGAAATCCTGGCGGCGCACTTGTTGGACTCTTGTACCGTTGACAATTCTCACAGCTGGTCACGTATTTAGCTGTAGCCTGATGCATGCGGGGCCAGCAGAACAGTTTCAGTGTGCGGTGATAGATCTTGGCAAACCCCATGTGCCCAGACGTTGGATCGTCGTGCATAGCTTGCAGCATGTTGGGTCGCAAAGATTTGGGTACAACCAAAAGTAGGCGAACCCCCCTTGCAACGAAATTTCGCTTGTAAAGAATGCCATTCTGCATGACGAATGTGCTCTGATGCGGCTTATCGATGGCAAGTGAGAAAAAAAAGGAGCCAGATTACGGTCTTGACGTTGCTCTGTACGGAACGCTTCCAAATATGGAAACCGTGAGTCAAGAGCGGCCAGGCAGTCGTCTAAATTGTCAGCCTCGCATTCAGTCGTGGGAAGGGGCGCGATAGGCAGTCAGCGTCCGCATGACAGCGGCCACTCTTGCAGCAAACATCAAAATCATATTCTTGCAAACGGAGTGCCCACCGTTCAAGACGACCGGCTGGATCTCGTAGATCAGGGGTCTGTGACGATGGAGAATCGGCGGCCATAGATGTACGGGCGAAACTTGTGCACGGTGGCAAAGCTTTCAAAGCCTTCTGGGCTCAGGATGGGCTCGGCCAATGACCCAGAATCCTATGTTCCGAGAAAGGCCGATAATCCAGTCTATCCAGAGCTGCAGTCAGTTCTTGTCTTTGCGCGTTGAAATGGGGGCACTCACACAGAAGGTGCGCGATGGTTTTTTCGCAGCT